ATGATGTAAAAAAAGTAAGTGCCCCTTAATATTAATATATTCTTTTGGTTAAATTTCTCTTCGTTTGATAAAAATCCTTTTATATCATATTGTCATATATGTTTTGGTTATATGTCCATAGGTTTTAAGGTAAACTATTTAAGTTAAATCTCTCTTTGTTACGAGTCCTTTAATATAATACTGTCATATTTTTGTAGCTTTTTTAAACGTCTATTTGTATTTGTATTATTATCTTGGTTAAATCTCCCTTAATATTATACAGTAAATTATTTTAAGTTAAACTCTCTTTGTTAAAAGTCCTTTAATATCATAGTATATTTTTTGGTTAAATCTCCGACGGTTGAAGAAGGTTTATATGTTCCAGAAATAACCTCCCTCCCCTCTCCGCTCTCTAAAAAAAACGGAGAAAAAAAAACACCAATACAATTTCTTTCAGGACGAATTTTAAACGAATAATGGTTCACGTATGTTTTCATATGTCAACAATTACTTCTAGGAGACGTGGAGAATAAATCAATCAATGCATCACAAAACTTAATAATCCGCTCTACTGAGGAAAAAACAAATACCACTAATATTGCCAGAAAAGTCAGACATGACAATTTAAAAGAAGCGCAAACCTGCCTGTGGGTTCCTACCATCCACAGAAATAGTCAACAATTGTAGTGCATTTTATTGTGTTTCGTATTGGAGGTAAAGACAGATTCAGAATTTTCCCCAAAAGTCATATTTTTTTCCTACTGTTAATCAGATAAATCCAAGTACCTGCTACCTAGGTGACGACTCAAACTGTACAGTATTCCCTAACAATGAACGGCCACTATGCGGTTAACGGAGATGATATGGCATCTTCCCTTTATAATACAAGATCATCGCAGTTTTCTTTTGCCAGAAACAGAACAACTGTTTCTCCATCCCGTCTACCGTCATTCCAAAGACCTGGAAAAAGCTACCTACGGTTAAGCTAGAAACAACTGATAGGAAGACATCAATTCAGGAGATGACTTGCCATAACACAATATACAATCAAGTAAGACAATGATAACAAACAATTTTATCAAAATAATCCAGGAAAAGTACAGCATTGAGGATCCAAACTTCCAAAAAGTTGTGCCAAATACGGCTAAGGTAATCTATGCCTGGGTTAAGAAAATCCTTAGTTTTTCAAAAAAAAAATTCAAAGTTTACTATTAAATGTTATACCTTATACTGGTTCGTAACAACTATGATATCATTACGTGGTCATTTCTGTATAGGCCTTGTTATTGGTCCTCGGCCAGCTGTATTGGCAAAAATACAGAAATATTTAAATTGTTTAACATTTAATAATAATACAAATTACATTTAAATAGTAATAAATTATTTTCATGGTGATTTTTTTCAGGAACATAAAATATGCAGTTGTTCTTGAGATTCAAATCTTCTGGACATGAATTCCATTTAATCACTTGTACACTAAATCACTTCATGAGATTTTGAATGGGAAATATGTTGTATTTTTAATAGTAAACTAAATCTAGCAAATCACTATACTATCAAAAGAATCTTTCTGCTGTTCAGAATATAAATTTGTGATCTTCCAGATATTATGTATACTAGTAATAATTGTCAGTGTCAAAACATGTTTAATTATAAATCATACTAAGCAATAGCATTTCGTATATTTTAGTACATGCAGAAGGGTTGTGTAGGAAACACAGTTGTAAGCAAGCTACAGATTCAGAGATGAATAATGCCATCAATGAATCCATTGCATATGCCAGGAAAAAATTGAAGAGACAAATCCAAAAATAGATGACAGCAAACTGATGATTGAAATGACATCCATCTAATGGGGTCAGACCTATAATCCGACAGTCCTGTAGTCCGACAGTCCCATAATCCGACAGACAGTCCTGTAGTCCGACAGTCTTATATTCCGACAGCCCGATAGTCCGATGCGCGGTCACTTGTCTCTGAAAAATATGCCTATATAGACATGTAACGGTTGTAAATTGGTATATTTTTTCACATAGAAAATTATCAATTCAGTCAGTTTGACGTCTTGTACAGGGCCGCACTAATCCCATACGAATCGGAAATGAACGCAGCGGGCATAATTCAATCGGCAATCCTCGGATGAATCCGTTAATACCCTTAGACGGTGAAACGGAATCCACCGAGTTTTGACGAATGGGGCTTAAACAGTAAAAGGCCAGTTAAATGATTAATATGACGGTATTTTTTTACATCAATATTTACGAAAATCCGTTCTAGCAAACTTGAAATATCAAATGACGGAGGAATTTGCGATGTTCATAAACGTCAATTTAACACGCGACGTCGTTGCGAGAAAACGTTTAATAAAGTTGCAATGTAGAGCCCTGATTGACGGGTGTCATACTGGGGGCAACCATTTGAATTTTATGGGGAAGGCAAAGAAAGAAACTATTTTCACTTATTTGTTCATATCACATTTTTATAAACACAATATTCTTCATATTATAAATAGTCATGTAGGTGAATTCAGATCACCTTAGATTTTTTGGCAACATTTTGGGTCCTGCCTTATTATTTCAAAGTCCATCTTAGCCCCCACAAAAATTGAATTGTTAATCTCTTATGTTAACTCTAGTGTCAATTTTATTTGGAAGCACGTTGTGTGCTTCTACTTCGAAAACATACACACTTTAGTGATGGCTGCAAAGGTTATTACGGGGAGGGAAGGTTCTAATCTATAATGGATACTTATATAAAAAAAAAAAAAAACAGAGAACCGAATCAATTTATTGGCGCATTGGGTGTAGGGCTAATATAAAAACTAATTTATTTCATGTCAACGACCTCATGCGATTATTCGCATTCTCGAAAACAACGAGCACACCCATGAATCAGACGATGCAAGTATTTCAAAGAGCGAAACTTTAAATACAATAAGAGATGCGATAATGGAGGACCCAAACTGTACCTATTAAAAGAGTTTATGATAGAGTAGCTTAGAGATACGAACAGAGGCGTAGGTGATCAGGAGCGCATCCCCAAATTTCATAGAGTAAGAAATGAAATGTCTCGGGGCCCATAGTCAGAATCGAACCCAGGACCTTCAGCACTGCAGCCATCGGTCTTAATAACTACTATCTGCTTTGTCTGTTCTGTTTGAATAAGTACTGTCATCACGTCATTGTCCATCTTCGTTCCGTTTTCTTTTCACATAATTCATGCAGGTTTTGGTAATCAAACCAGAAAAAGACAAGATAGTACAGCGATTTATTGCCATACAAAAGCAGTGATAAGTTATCATTTTGATGACAGAAAAATAGACACTATTTATTAAGATTTCATTCCAAATCCATAACTTTAAAACATCTTCTGAAAGTGTTACTGCATCTGGAAAATTTGAGATAATGACACTATTCCTATTCTATTAAAACTACTTGTTCTTTTAAGAACAAGAGAAGAGATAAAAAAATTATATACTTCTATGTAAATCAATCCGATGTAGTCGTCTCATATCTTCGGGGCTAACGCCCCTCCGATATGATAGATTGATTGTTGGTTGCTTAACGTCCAGTGGCAAATATTTCATGCATATTCAGGACGAGAACAAATTAACAATACATACAATAGGTAGGTTCTGTAATAGGGGCGTCCGGGGTTAAGGTTGGCGAAATTTAGACTGCCACGGGAAATGAGGGATTATTGGATAGGGACAGAAATCTAGCCTTGCAAAAGGTCACCTACGGACCCCTCAAAGAGTTGTTGCAAGGGTTCTTAACGTGCAAAGAGCGTGGCACTCTCTTTACACGAGGCATCGGATTTAACGTCCCCATTCTGACCGGACGTGGCTGCAAATTTCAACATCCCGCACAGCCAAACGGACGCCCCACTTTAGCAAGGGCTTTACTGCCGGTCGGAGGAAGACCAATGGTGACCATACTTATATTCCCCAGTCACCCTTGGGGGGGGGGGGGGGGGGCCTCAGATATGAGAAGCATACCTCTTATACATGTGACATTTCACATTCAACCACATAATACGCTACATGCACGCGGTTGCGCATTTATGTAAACAGACATTCTCGTTCTCAACTTCGACATGATGAGCAGGAATGGAATCTTAGATTAATTGTTCAAACAGCGTAGGATTTAATTGGACCCCATTACAACGCATTCCACTTTTCCACTGCTCGCGTTTCGACAGTATACTAATAAGTTTATATGAAGACGAGATCCATATCCTTTGCAGCCGCACGGCTTCGTGTCGGACCATCGGACTGTAGGATTAACGGACTGTCGGATTATCGGACCGTCGTACTAACCGACTGTCGGACTACTGGACTGTCGGAATGTCGGATTATAGCTACGCTCCCCATCTAGTGATACAATGAACATTTGAAGCTTGTCAGTCCTAATAAACCAGCTTTTCGATTTGTGTCCTTATGTAGACAGTTGACGTTTATCAAGATCATTTTCTTCAACTGTAGTACCAATTACGTTATCGGAATATGTTTTAATAGAAGTGCAGTAATTTGACCTAGAAGTAGATAAGCTTCAGTTTTAAAGGCTCTAGCGGGAAGATTTTGAACAAAGGCAACAGTAGTATACCACTATTCGAAATTCATAAATCGATTGAAAAAAAAAAATCCGGGTTACAAACTAAAACTGAGGGAAACACATCAAATATAAGAGGAGAACTACGACACAACATTAAAATGGAACACACAAATAAACGAACTATAATATAACAATGGCCATTTTCCTGACTTGGTACAACTTGGTACTTGAATTTGTTTCAGAAAGTTATGACAGAAGATATCTAAACGGGGAATATCTTAAGCACTAATATTTGCTATTTCAAGTCCAAATAACATACGTGGAACCACATACGTTGACCAAAATTTACATGACATATCTGGGTTAAAGCGTTACTGCATCTCTTCATACAACAAACGACAATTTTTTTTCCTTTACCTGTGTTGCTTTCAAAAAATAATTGTCACTTTATGTCCTGTGACTTGCTGTCCTACAGGTGGCACGGTAGTATTTCCTGGCCCATAAGGGATAATGATAGCCTTTTTAGAATTTTCACCACTTTCTAACACTGCAAAAAATTCTACATTCACAGTTAACTGAAGTACTTTCATTTTACTATTCAGAAATGAATTTGAATGTGTATCGCACAAGGATAATAGTTACGCTGAACGGTGCCCACTGGTCACCCTATAAATAGTGCTCTTGTGTGTAGTAATATTGTAGTTCTAACACATGTCTAAAAATAGAAAGCTTAAAATAGACAATTCATCTTTCTATTTAGCAATACACCATAGAGCCTGTCACCGTCTGTATTATCTGTAAGTAAAATTAACATACCGAGCAATTGAATACAATGAATAACACAAACTTAAGCATATTAAGTTTAATTAAGTCATTCAAAGCAAAATAATTGTTTCATCCATTTTGCATGATTTGTCATTTGTGATGACACGTTTTTTTTAAATGTTCGAATCACAGACTAGAAGGATATATTCACCCTAAGACTCTAAGTAGAAGTAGATATAAAAAAAAATCACAAAATAAATAATTCACTAAGGCCGTGTTCACACCAAACGTCGTGTACAGTAAACATGTTTACATTTGGTTTAATGTAATGTACGCTAGTTTCACATTAAATTTGTTCACATCTATACACCTTGTTTAGTTACATGTACATAAGATTTGTTCACACTCGTAAACTATATGTCATTTAAATGTTCATTACGTAGAACCGAATTCAAATTTTCGAACAACTTTTCTACAGTTAATAAACGACCACTTGACTTTAAAAAAAGGGGGGGGGGGGGGGGGGTGGATTTTTCCACAATTAGATTTTAAAAAAAATTGAGACATTCAGACAATTATAGAATGAACAAATATTCTGAATCAAACGTTTTCCCATACATTATAGTGTTAAACATGTTAAATATTATATAAATTGGTACCATCGAAAAAAAACTAATTATAAACTTTCGCGCGAGAACTCAGAACCCCTCTCCCTTTTTTTTGAAGTAAAGTGGTTGCTCCTTTAAGAAAGTCATTTTGGATGATTTGCAGTATTTTATTACAATTAACAGAATGAACTTTGTCTACCATGATCATCTATAAAACAAACGTTAGAGAATGATTTAATTTGCAAACGTTGCCAAGAGCATGTTCAGTTGATAATTGATACTTATCCTCTGTAGATATTTTTGATAAATCAATTGATTTCCTTATACGATTATTGTATTTGTTATCTTTTTTTTCAGAAGTCACTAGAAAATGTAGATGAAAGAGGTATGTACGCATTTAATTTGTGATATATAATCATTATATATGATGCTTAAGTACATGAAGTTTTTATAATACTGAAATTATCATTCTATTCTTACACAAAACTGGTTATCATTTTTTGTTAAAACGGCTACTTAGGTTTGATTGAAAAGTAAATTCAATATTCTTTTAGAATTTCCTTACAAAATTCTTAATTTTGGATACATGTGGTCATCTTCCCAAGATATGGTATCTGGTAATTACTGGTCACTTTTAAAAGATATAATAGGGTTTTGTTACTGTTGGTCACCTGGTTTAAATATAAGTTTTGGTTACCTAAGTTTATGCAGATATTGTAATTATCTGGTCATCTTCTGCATATTTCGGATTTGGCTTCCTCTGGTCACCTTATGCAGATAATTGATTTGGTTACATCTGGTCTTCTTATTCATACATGGGATTTGGTTACCTCTGGTCACCTTCTGTAGATTTCAGATTTTGTCACCTCTGATCACCTTATGTTGATATGAAATATGGTAACCTCTGGACACACTTACGCAAATAAAATTTGTTTTATTTAGTCTTTTATAACAGAAAATGAAACAATTAATGTTAATATAAATTGCAAAAAAATATCAACATTTACATTTGAATGGTTCATGGTTTTATTTCTTTTCATTAGTAGATAATGTTAGACAACCGAAGATCCAGAAAAAAGATGAAGATCAGGTTAGATATACATTCTTGGTTCAGGGAGAATATGTTATATTGTTATATTAATTTCAATATATTAATAACCATTAAAAAATGTACATTGTCTTTCAGAGTCGTCTAAAAAACAAATCTTAGAAAACAATTAAAATTTCTTACTTTGTCAAGAGGATTTTTACAATTGATTATGTAGACAATTTATACTTATCATTATTAGATAATTTTTGATAAATCAATTGATTTCCTAATACAATCATTATAATTTTTATCTTCTATTTTTAGAAGTCAACAGAAAATGTAGATGAGAGTGGTATGTATGCATTTAATCATGATGGATAAGTTCATTAAGTTTTATGATACTGAAACTATCATTCTTTTTGAACTTAAAACTTGTTATTGATATTTGTAAAAATGCTACTTAGGTTTGATTGAAAAGTAATTTCATTTTCCTGTTGAGATTACTTTACAAAAATATTGAATTGGTTACATGTGGTCAACTTAACAAGATATTGCCAATTTCATCAAAATTGAATGGGCAAGATGTGGCGCCATAGTTAAATTTATGAACATTGAAAAAGGTGACAAAAAAGTAGGGAAATTGACCAAAATGAATTATTTTCCTATTTTAGAATGATATATTTTTAAATATGAAGCATATAATAGTTTTTGTTATACTTTATATAAAGAAAACAATTGAAGTTTTTAATATACTTCTTCACAGGGCAGGCTTTGGAGTTGACTGGCTCAACCCCCAACCTATTTTTATTTAGGAGATATTGGGGTAGAAAAATGTCACTTTGTTTCTAAAAATGGTATCATAATGATCAAGACATTGATATTATGTAGTTATTTTGTACACAAAATCAATGCAACCACCAGGAATTAATTACCGAAGATAACTAGGATTACATTTTATGATTAAAGTAATTGTGTTTTGATTGGTTTCTTATCAATTATCCTGAATAATACTCTTATCTCAACAGGTACAAGTTAGACGACGGATTGGAATGAGATTACTTCTTTTGAGGAGTTTAGGATTGCAAGTATGTACATTATATTTTTTTGATCATTTGCATACCATGATCACCAACAATCTATATTTCACCTCAACAATCATTATATTTAGCACTTCATGGATTTGGATATGAATCATTACTTGTTTTATTATTGTCTTTCCAATTACTTTTTATGAATAACAAAGCTAAATGTCCTGTGTGATGACTGTACCTTCACATTTTCAGGAATGGCTTTTATCTGTTTAGTAACAACCTATACATATACTAGTTTGATATTTACTTGGTAATTTTATACATTTAGAAGCTCCCTGTATCATTTATTTTTACATTGTGCCTTAAATAATTCAAGTCATTGATTTCTTTTAATAGGCTAACAAAAACACAATTTTAAGTTTCTCATTAATCTTATCGTAAGGGTTCATGATTATTTTCCAATTTATTTAAAAAGACATTAGACCTGTGAGAAGTAGACTACAGTCAATGAAAACAAACAAAACGGAGAAAAGAATGATTTATATGGTGAAGGGAGATGAAATCACGGCCAGAGTCCAGGGAACAGACAGAATGTCAGTTCACCAGATAGGTGATTACTTGACAATAGGGAAATCAAATACTACTCAACAAAATCGAAAGGAACTTTCAAGACTAGTCAATTTGATTCCAAAACCAACAAACATAGTGCCACCGATCACATCAGCCTGGTCCATGTTAACAAACGGTTAGACTTTATTAAATACACTTGATTCTCAAAGAAAACAGTTTATGCTGGTTAAAACACATAAATTGATGATCTCGTGTTTTTTTAAGCATTGATTGATTAGAAGGTAAGGAATGGTGAATGGGTCGAAAGGAACAATCAAACTGAAATTTGGAGAACAAACTGACAAAGCTGAGCAAAAAAATTTTAAAAAATGATGGAAAGTCAAAAATGCAATCATTATAATTCAATATAGAAAAAATAAAACTGAGCAACATAAACCCCATAAAAAAACTAGGGTGGTCTCAGGTTATCTATATTGCTTAGCAGATCCAGCTTATTAATGTATGTGGTGCCCATCATATTGTTCATGCTTGAGTTTGAGTAGTATCTTTTGAAATCATATGTCTACTGTGAATCATATACATGTCGCTTTGCCAATCTGTAAGACATTTTTTTAAGTTGTAAGAACTTTCATAACGGTGCTTAATATGTCTTATTACATATATTTATCAGCTTAACTGCAAGAAAAGATCACAACTGTATTTCACTTCATTTTCAGGTGATGTTGACTATCAAGTTCAATCTTTAAACACTTTGACCGAGGCTCTTGTTGACAAAGAAGCAACCAAAAAGGCTGTATGCAAAAAAATGAAAGGGACATCTGCCCAAAAAAAGGGTGACATTGAAAAAACTAAGTAAGTGTTTGAGGAGAATTCAATTGTTCAGATTTTATGAACATTGGATTTATAATGGCTACAAAGGCAATCGTCTTCTTGACATCTTTATTACATACTAAGAGTATGGAATAAAATACACAATAGAAAATGCAAACATCTAGATTAACATGAAATATATAAAACATACATTTTCCAAATACCATGATCATTATGTATTTATCTTCTCAACAATCAATTATAAACTGAGTTCTCATCTATTCAATTGATTGCTTATCTGTTTCAATAATTATTCTAGACTAAATTTGTGACAAAATTCAGATCATAAATTCATAATCAAGTCTATAATGCAATCTATCTTTTTACACTCGAGGTCTATATATAGAAAATGAACAATTGTGTTAAAAGCGAATGGAAATGTGTAGTTATCATTTTAATATACAGTCAAACACAAACATACTACCAGCTGTTTAAAAACAGATTTCGTTTTAATATAACTTTATGGACACAGGGATTATGTCAAAGAAACAACAACCCGACCAAAACGTAAAAAACAACTCAAGGTTTCACATTTCTCTGTGTACTAAATAATAAACTTTTCAAAGCAAAATGACATGGAATCAATCATTTTAAAATTAATAGCATCGTTAGAATACTAACTATAAAATCATATACAATCTACTTCTTACTGGTCATAAACTTGAAACAATCCACACTACATGTTTATCAGAAAGCTAGGTAGAACAATTGACTTATAATTATTGATGTACAAATTACTATTTAATTTGGCCTTACAATTCGACTTGGTCCTTTGTTTTATTATTGATATGTATAACATTGCTATTCTCATTTATTTTCCAACGGTTTAACATGCTCTATTTTGTTGTAGCTAGGAAACATTTGAAATTATTGAATACAATTTTTGTTAGTAATGACATAAATTAAGCATTATAGTATTAACATATTAAAACATTTAAAAAAAATATTTAAGTCAATAAAATAAAATGCATTCTTGTAAATTAAGTCTTTTATTTGCTTAGATTAAGTGATTCTTATTAAAACTAGAATAATTAAGATGGTGTCATTATATAAAATTGTGTAGGTAAAGAAATGTCCTATAATAATAAAATTGCTGTCTTAACTTATATTTGCAGAGAAATTGTTGGCCATGTTATAGCCGAACTAAATAAAACTAATGTAAACAAGGCAATGCATGGGAAAGTTTTTGAGGCCTTTGGGAAGACAATACAGACAATGCTGCCGGTAATGATTTATTAGACACATGACACGTATTATCTTAACTTAAAACATATTTGATCATTTGCTTAAAAAATATAACCTACTTGAGACAACAAACAGACCTAGTCCAATGTAATAATTAGCCAAGTTATCTGCTTGACAAAATCATCATTAGGAATAGGTATTTGTTATATTAAATTATATCCATTTGTTCACATCAGTATCTTTGCAAAACATTTCAAGAGCAAACTGTATATGTCCTACTTTTAAAGCATTTAAGCACCTATGTAACATATACAATTTTTGAACGAATATCTAGAAAAGGCAGTTTTTCAAAATCAGTATAATATTTCATTATTTTTTTCATTGAAATGGTTTACGAATGGATCCTTTCTTTCTGTGCGTAGATTTGAAACTGCCATCATCATTAACTTTACGCCCCCGTTTTTTCAGACCACACTTTCGGCTTACTGAATAGTCATGATCAGTTTTTGGACTTTTGGATTTTCTGCTTGGAAACAGCGGTTGCTGCTTTCGCTTTCTTGTTGTTTTGGAAAAGTTGGTTGTCTTACAAATATGTAATGCCGTTGTGAGTGCTTGACAAATAGCTTTCTTTTTTTTCACGTCAATTGTCTGGAAATTTTTATTGTTTACATATAAATTGATTTCCTCAATTTTTCTTTTAATAGCCTGGTCGGTTGTTTCTTTGTCTTCAATTAATTGTTGTTTTGTTTCATCAATTGAGGTAGACTCTATGTCAGGTGATGGAACTACCAGTTTTGCTACCATCACACAAACACAATGTTTACCATGGCTATTGGCAAAACATGTACATTTGAAAGAGGTCAAATTAACAACTGATACATTTCCCAATCTTGACAAAACCTCTACCTGGTTGTTATCTCTGTCATAAAAATATTGTTCTGCATTAAATACATCCATTGCTTCTGATCTGCGCTCTACAGTAAGGTCGATGTTCCTTTTAGAAGCAATCAATTCAGCTAAATGAACATGCTTACACATTCCTGAAAAATAGTAGAGAATGGAACATAAATAACTTTTACCTTTATGGTTCACTTTCAATTGTACAAACTTTAAACAAAACCACTAATGAACGTTGAGTAAAGATTTACTTAAATTGGATCGCATTGTTTTAGAAAATTTGATGAGGAAAATGATTATTTGCACTTGTATAACCTGATGACGGTTGATAATGCCTTGTTGGAAGACAAAAACAATCAAAACCGAGGAGACTCATAAAACCATAAGACATTTACAACAACAGTAAAAAACAATAATAAACAACACGAATTCCACTGAATACCTGAAGTGAAATTAGGTGCTTTAGAAGGATAAGCATTTCCGGGAACCATATACGGAACCCGAAATTAATAATCTTGATTTCAACAATTCATACTTGATGGTGTACTTTTAAACATTGTTGGACTGACTTAAGATGCTAAAAAAATACCTCTTGTTGTTGCTGCTGGACAATTGCACACTTCATTGACAATGTCCACATTATAAATCGTCCCAAATGCTGTCTGTGATGGAACAGTGCATTCTGTGGATGAAGTCCATTGCACAGTTTGGTCGAGTCCTGCCTTGAGAATATTCTCTGCTGTCAATTTACTTTTGTCTCCCCTTTGTCCTCCCATATTTTTCAGGCGACCAATCTTTGCGAGTTCATCCAGATAGCTAAAATTACGATGTTTTTTTTAATTTATTTTTGGTTATGAAAACATAATTCAAAGATCTAATAATAAATTATTTCTTAAAAAATTGAATTCACAGTATTTAATATTCAATGTATTTGCATCTTAAATTAAAATGATCTTTCTAATTTCAGACGATTCAAGTGAACGATAAGAAGAACAGGATTGTGACAAATTTAAACTTACTTACTCATAAAACATAGTTACATTTCCATGGAGAAGGAGTAGTAAGTCCTCTACTCTGCTATTGGCATACCCACCAAGGAAATGGTATTTCATGCCCAGGAAAAACCTGAAAATGACAAAATGTTAAGGACTTTGAATTTATGATTTATATTTGAATGTACAAATAGAAAGTACATAAAATATTAATGTGTTAACATTTGAATGTTATAAGTAGCATTATATTTTTTTGTTTTAATATCCTCATACACATCAGGTTTTGCTAGACTACATTTTTTCATTTTGTCTGCTTTTATGTAATTATCGACTTGCATTGACAATTATGATATTTGTATTAAATTTGCATAACCCTATCATGAAAGAACGGCAAAAATCCTCTCCATATAGTTAAAAATTGTAAAGTTTATATCATGCTATGTCTTTGGTTACCCATGAAGAAGTAGGATTTAGACAAAGTGTAATACTTTTTATAAATCAGGTCATAAAAACAGAGACAGTTCAGAAAATTTATCCCCAAAATAAAATATACTTAGTTACTATTATCAAACAGATGATAATTAGATGATGCTTAAAATTTCGATCTTGTAAAATATAAGGTGTATAGTAATAAAATGTATTAATAACCTTTCAACTAAGTTATTTGTATCTTGATCTTCATGAAAAAAAATGTCTTCCATAGTTGGCCCATCGACATCCCCACTTGTCAGTACACCAGTTGTCTAACAAGTAGTCTGCTATTTGTTTGGAAGGCATCTTCTCTTGCAACATTTTAACTTTTTGAGAAAAGTCTTCTTTCTGATGAAAAATTATATTGACACATTTCTTTTGAGTATAAAATCAGATTTTATAGATTAAACACGCGTGTACTCATAAGCATTGTATATTTATAGGTAAGATCTTTAAATCGCATTAAGCAACTATTTGTACTTTCTAAATTATTTTACTGCTTTAATTCAATAGAGATTCATTTCTATATGTTTCAGTGGTCTTTTATCAACCAAAATTCATTGATTGTATTTTTTATTATTATTATTATTGCGTTTTAATTGACTCTATTTGAAAAATCTTGTTGATATGATTTTGATATTAAAACAATTACAATGTTGGAAAAGGAGAAAAAGATCCCACTGAGGTTTCATTTCTACAGGGATTTTTCTTATAATATAAACATATCAATAACCAATCGTGTTTCATTGTGAGGCAACACACTCGTGATTAATTTTTTAACAATGTTTCACATCCTCTGCATATAAAACTGTTATTATCAGAAGCAGGTCAAGTTATACTATGTAAATTAACATTCACCTAGTACATATTAAATATTCGAATACATTATTTGAATTTGTCAGGACCAACTCAAAATTATTGACCAATTTAAAAATTATTATATTTCACTGTGGTATCATAGGTTCATTATATTTTATTTGTCTTAACTATCACGTTTGATTACCTTGGTACATATTTTCATAGTTCTAATATAGTCAATAACTTTTTTTCTGGTATGTGCGTGCATGGGTCCTGATACACCAGATTCTTTTTTATTCAAAAATCTGTACACAGCCTGTAAATCAAATCATTTATATTTAGTTCATGTCTTAAAGATTCTTGATAATAATAATTAAACATTGTCTTGAATATATCATGACTAATTATTTTTCAACAAGATAATATTTGATCTATGAAAGTATTAATGCGAAAGAGTCTATTTATTAATTCAAAACTGACCTCAAGCTTATAAACACAAAAAAAAGATATAAAATGTTAAATCCAATGCAATTAATACTTATTGATCCAAAAGAGTGAAACTTCACAGAATAACTCTCATTTAATAACTGATTTTTTTCCCATAAAGAATAAGGTAAAATGTATGATACATATATTGAATAATATAATACCTGTAAAACATGAAACCAGCAAAGTAAAACAGAGCTGTTTGGGAATACTTCATTAATTGCGCTGATTTCTTTGGTATCTCTGTCTACCATAAAAGATCTAGTAAACAAAATGTAACACTGCAGTATCAACAATCTATATCTTTATCTCATATTGGTTTTATTCTATAATACTATTTGTTAATTTGTAAATAATTATGTAAATTCTTTTTTTTTTTATATCAATTAGATTTTTAATTTGTGATTAAAAAGTTTGGAAACAAGCCTAAAAAAGCTTTAATTATTATGTTATGTATAAACCTGACTATGCTTTAATCTTAAATGCTTTGGTTTTAAAGCCTTGCTATAGATCACACTCAAAAGATTTTAAGGAAATTGATGTTTTTGTAAGTTTCATTAGTCCATTAGAAAAATATTATTATGCAAAAATTATTTATCTAATATTCTTTGCCAAAATTCAACTGAAATTATTGTGGACCTTAATTGTATTAATTTTGATATGCATGAAAAAATGTTTCTTTAGATGAATCTTTCATAGCATTGTCTATTTGTCATTTCAAATAACTATCACTGCACGAATATGTGAATAATGTCATAGTTTAACCTGTAATTTTTACAGCCAAATTAATTAAAACATATAATTGAATGGTATTTATTTATCTTTTATATCCATATCAGATTTGATGTTGACTCCGAATAATGTTACTAATTGTAAACAAATAATAAGACGAAAATGAAAAATGTTAATAAGCAATGATATTGAATTCGAAATATTGTCAACTTTGATACCCACAAACCTTGGACGGAAATCAAATCCATGATTTTCAGCCGTAGTCTTCAGAGATCTCAGAAATATTTTGACAACTTCACCAGTATCATCTGACGAGATACAGTACGAAAGAGGAGTCCCTCGGCCTTGCTGTTCATCTCTTGCAACAAGAGCATAGAATGAATAACCATAGGCAGTTAATCCTTAAAACAAACAAAAAACATGTTGTAAGTTTATTGTCACACAGTTCAATTCTTTTAAACGTATCAATATTTTAAATTGAAATTTCCATGATTATATACAAGTATATACCTTTATATGTAGCATCTAAAAACACCACATTTTCTGCTAGTTTCACCATTCTTTTTCTTTGTGCTTCATTCTGGTAAATAATTACTAATGGCTGTACTCCCCTACAATGTAAATGTTACATATTTAATGACCAAAAGTATGAGTATGAATTATATATTTTATGTTGAAATCATGTCCATTTAATGGAAAAGAAGACGACAAACTAGCTACATTGTACTCATATTAAATAACCTCTATTAAAACTGAAAAAGACAAAAATGTAAAATATATTGACAAAATATATGACTTGTGAACAAGTGTAGCACTAAAAACACTCAAAAGGATAAAAACCAAAAATACAAATCATCTATTATGAGAAGTCAGATATACGTTCAGTCTACAGAAAACTCATCTGTACAGCTCTCATTGAAACATTTTACAGACAAAATCATATACGAAATTGGACAGACGAGTACTATAAAAACTATTTGAACATAAGGCAATCCAGTCATGTCTGAAGAACAAAACAGGGTATCAATCAGTAATTTCAGAATTACTCTTTATCAGCATTATGCTTATATCAGTTATTAAAATTTACAAAAGTACATTATTATATAAGAATAATTACTCTTTCAATTCTTGGTAGAAAATTATCTCTTCCTTCAGTATTTGTGTGCATAGCTCGTGTACAGCTACAGCATCATTCTGGTGAATTCTAAAACAAATGAGGAAATATCATAGATCAATACCAGTACTGACATATACAAAATCAATGTCAACAGTACATCTGTATAATTTGACCAGAAAACACCAAAGTTAATTTTTACTGTGTAAAGTGCATGTTTACAATCAGATTGGTAAAAAGATTAAAATGGTGAATAAAGTAATGATTTTAACAGACGAACCATTGGGTTTGCAAACAGTGCATCAGTTTAAAGAACCACAAACCAAAGGCTGTATCTATAAATGTGATGGAGGTAACCAACGTCATTTCCAGTGTAAGGTACTAAATACCAAATGCTCTTTAAATTTCACTTTACTAAAGTATGTAGATGTAACAAGACGGAACCAAGGATATACTTTGTGTAAAGCTATCATTTTTTTTTAAATTGTCCAGATGTGACCAAAGTTGCGGTGAACAGTGGTAACCAAAGTCAATATATGTGTACGGTTTCAAAAGGGATATAGATTATATACATATCTAAAATAGACATAGGAAACACAAGTATGATTAAGGTAGCCCTAGTCAATACCTGTGTATCATTATATATATGTTTCAGGTGACCAAAGTTAACAAAATGGTGAAAAGTGATTATCAAATTCTACAAACATTTAAGGGTACAAGTGGCGACCCAGGTCCATATATGTGTTCATTAACCAGAGGTTACCAAAGTCTGTATATGTTAAGTGTTATCAGAGGTAGCAAAGTCTTTGTCAATATTAAGATTTGGTTCAAGTTATCAGAGGTAACTGAAGTCCGGATAATGTGTTATTTTTCGATGACTGGATACGTAGAGACAAATATAAAAAAGAAGATGTGGTTCGATGACTGGATACGTAGAGACAAATATAAAAAAGAAGATATGGTATGATTACCAATGAGACAACTATCCACAAAAGACCAAAAATGACACAAACATTAACAACTATAGGTCACCATAACGGCCAGCAACAATGAGCCTGTTTCTTTGGATTTTTTAGAAGAACAAAGTAGTAAGTACATATTTTAAGTAAATCTTTTGATTATGTTTTGATACCTTTTATCCATTTTGTAACGTTGACATATATTCTTAATGTCAACTGGTGTCAGATAGTATCTTCTATCGTGCACATCAAAATGCCCTTGATCTCTAGCCCATTTCCATGCTTTGCACAATATTTCCATGGGTTTTTTCCCCTATTGTTAATGAAATAAAATTAAATTCGTGTCAATTACAATTAATTTCAAATTTAGTTAAAATCTTTTTGAGCTTAAGGATTTTTTCAAATCAACACAAAATATGTCGTTGTATCAATATATGTCATTGTAAAAATATATGTCTTCTAGAATATTTTATCATCAATGCTATTCAGCTTTAAACTGGTTTTTTCATTAAAATATTTCATACAAGCGTCCGATATTTATGTAAATGCATTAAATGACTCTCTGGCAAGCCAATTTTATCCTAATCATTTTATTTTTGATTTATTTCAACCTATTCATTCATTATAATCTTGGCAAATTATGAAAAAATGCGCCGGAAGACAAACACAGACATCGAAAAGAACAGAATGGTTGAGAAAATATTAAACTCCAATAATGTCAGCATACACAATTTTTATTATCATTGTGTTTATAAGAGTGCCAGCAACTTATAATTGAAAAATAAGTCAATTCGTTATGAGCAATAAATTATATATAATACCGACGACATGAATACCTGATCAAGTAAAGCATCTATATAAAGCAGTAAGCTGTGATCTGGGCGTGATTGGTGTTTTTCCTCTTTTATCTGTAAACTGTGTCCATTGTGTTTTAGTTGTTGCCGAATTATTACTGCTTTTTTACTCAAATGGGTCAAAAATCTGTGTAAGAAGATATTAACATGCCCTTTAATGATTTTTTTTTACATGTACAACGTCACTGGTAAGTACTGTTTTGCCAAACGTATCATTATTATATTTATTACAACAGCTTGTAAGCAATATTTAAGATCTATCGGACTTGAAGAAAAGGATTATTTTTTCTAAAAATATGTGTAAGGCTACTTCGAATAACTGCTATGGTTGTTGTGTTCTCCTTGTAAATTGATAACTTATCATCAAAATGATATATACCAAATTCTATATAATTTGATACAGGGATTCTCTATATAATAATTTCAACCATGACAGGGTGTATTGACCCGCTCATCACATGAAATGTCAGGTAAACTAGCCAGCAACTCATGAATGGTGTATGCCCGGTGAATACCTGTTTAAAAGTGTTTGGTTTAGTAATATGATAAATGCATTTAATTCCCACTCTCAAGACACGGACAAAAGGTTGCTTAACTACAACAAGGATGTTAGGATCAATAAATAATGATGTTCAAACGCTTAAAAGTTATAAATTAATTTATAGTTTTGCATCATAAAAGAAAAGTAAAAGAGATAAATGAATATTACATTAACATAACATACTGGAATGACACATATGCCTGACAATTATTTGCCCTGGTATTCAAAGGACCTGTTTTTTTTCCTCTTGGTTTATTACATCTAAAATAAACATGATAAAATTTAAACAAATATGCATCTTAACTTTATAGATAACCAAAGAGAAAAATGTTGTGCAATATTTCAGAAAATTCATAGTTCAATACGTTTAAAAGCTTTCGGAACTATCTGTTATTAAAGGCCATACTATAATTACTGTATAAACTATAACACAAAACGTATATTATTGAAAAAAAAGCAAGAGAATAACATACAACCAGAAGTCAAGATTATACAACTCATCTCTTTCAAAACTATACCAATATTATTTTCTGTCACAAATGTATCTTTTAACTCAGCATTGTCTTGCAAATTTGATATGCAAGATATGTAAATAGATTCTTTAAGAATGTTTACGATTGTTACTAAAGTTGTTCTCTTTTTCTATTTATTGTTTATTTGGAGAAAAACAAGAGTGGATTTATTTCAAGATAAAATTCCTTTATAGATTATCGACTTAGATGATTAAAGTTACCTTTCACACCTGTATTGCAATGTGGTTTTATTTGCTTTCCTGTGAATAAAATTCCCTGTGATTGTTATATCCATTAAATGCTTGGTTATGACGTCTTCGTTGTCCACTTCATTTCTGTTGAATGATAAGCAAAAACTGAAGCCAAAGTCACAAATGCTAGCTGATAAAACACAACAATATGTTTCAGTGTAATAGTGTGACCAAAAATTCATCCATATATTCAGAAACATTGGAAAGAGTTACACCATAGTATAATAGACTTAAATTGTCCCCCAAAAAATAGAGTTCTTAAAAATGATCCCTTTGTTAATACAGTGATTTTTATATTTTGTAAGACTATTTGAAGTTCAGTAAAATTATTCTGAATAACAAACAGAGTTATTTTTCAATAATCTGAAGGTATATGTTTTGCTGTGATAGATATTTATTTTCTTTTAATTCTATTGAAACCATTAGGTCATAGGAAGAAGGTAGCATATAGAAATTAGTTGATTTCAAAACTATATATTTTCGATTAAAATAAAATTTCCCATACCTTAAACGTCTAACAATGCAATCAGTACCATTTTTCCGTTTTTTGATGAAGGTGGATCTCACAAACTCTACGAATGGCATATCTAGGGTAAGAAAAGCATATGTATTGCTATGTAGTAACACTAGTTTACTTGTTATAAATTTAAAAACAAATGATGACATCGATGAAAAATACCAACAAACGACCTCTGCACAATAAAATTAACGGTACCAATTTTCTTGCACCAGATGCGCATTTCGACAATACATGTCTCTTCAGTGATGCTCGTTGCCAAATTATTTGAAATCCAAAGCTTATATAAAAGATGAAGAGCTATAATCCAAAAGTTCCAAAAAGTATAGCCAAATCCGTGAAAGAAATCAGAGCTTTGCATGAGGGAGATACATTCCTTAATTTATAATAATTTCTAATATTTTGTAACAGCAAATTTTAATAACACAAAAAAATAGTTGCATATAATATATTTGAACGTTTCAACAGGCGCAAACCTTCACATTACACGTAAAACAGCAGTAAAACATTAAAAGAAAAGACGCACTATAAAAGCAAATAATGGAAAATGGCTTAACTCTGACAAAACAATTAACGAGTTACAAAAAATACATTTATAAACATAAGTATACTTCGCGACACAGTATTAATACAATAATAAAACGCATTTGCAGTATAACATAGACGTTACAGTTAATAATAAAAAAGGAGGACACATGATACAACTATTGCGACAAAATGACGTTAGATAAACCACTTTAAATTTCGCATGTAAAGTCAAATTTAAGTATAATAATTTTGTCGTTGGAAGTACGGAGAAATGGAAATAAAATGTGTTTTAAATGCATTGTTGACTTTCGAAAAGCCTTCGATAAAGTCATGCTCATTGGTAGTATTTATAAACTGCAACTTTATAATACAACTAATTATTTTTTATAGAATATTGACGTCTATGTATACTAATGGTAGGTTATGTATAAAAGTGGATGATAAAATGACTTTTACTTTTTATAATAAAATTGAGAATAAAAATGGGGAATGTGTCAAAGAGACAACAACCCGACCGTAGAAAAATACAACAGCAGAAGGTCACCAACAGGTCTTCAATGTAGCGAGAAATTCCCGCTAATTATAAGTTATTCAAATCATTTTAAAATCACTGATGATAAGTATGGCTAGTGAACATTTCCGAAGGAACAATATTGTTCCTTCAACATCATGTGTCATGTTATAGTTGCTGAGTTCTTCGTTGCACACATCAACAGGAATAAAAAGGTTATCATCATTTGTTGCATGCTTATCATTCGTGTGGTGATCAAGTTTGCCACTGTCACCTAAAATTTGTTGTATAAACGTTACAATTAACAAAAAAACGTAATAATTTATAATTAATACTAGTTTATCTGTTAAAATAAAGCTTTTTTGCATCTGAATGTATTTGCCAATTAGAAAAACTTTGCCTCTAATGCTGATTGATATCAATGCAGTAATTATGCAATCAAATTATGTAAAGTAAACTTATATAAATATCACATTTACAATACTTCCTTTAATATTTTTCTTTTTCAAAAACAGTCTACAGTGAAAAAACGTAAAACGATTTAAGGTAGATCATTACTGAATTTTTTTCTCAGACATAATTTTCTTATACATAGCCACAATTTAGTAGAAAATCAAAAGAAAAAGGGTGAAAATAAATCTCGTTTTCTTGCGAAAAATGGAAATTTCATTATCATTCCTTTAAAGAAAATTCACCAAATAAGTTATCTTCCGTTAATTAGCTCAGTTGACAAATTGAATCAAACAAAGACTGATAGCCGGTTTTTACAATAACACTTATTTTTTCAATGATATAATGCACTTATTTACATTTATCAAACAAGAGTTTTAAAAATGAATAGCATTTATGTCTCAAAATTTGCAGTTTTAAATAAAGAACTTTGTCGCTTGTGTGCTGCTATTTTACAATTCAAGATGGCGATATACAGATATATAGTGATGATCTACCTAATTCAAAGATATAAGGCTTAAAAATGTGTTCCGTCTACGTAAGACTCATTAGGGTCGCTCCTATCGAAAATGTGAAAATGCCTAATGAAGAACAAAGTTAAAGTAAACTTATTTCATTTCGTTTTGCCAAAAACAATTTGATAAAATATCAAATATATAAATATGGACATTTTACTGATTCTATGGTATTTATCCCTTTCTGAGCACAATATTGATCAACATTTTACCAAACGTGGGTCATTTGATCGAAGTCCTTCCTTAGTCGAAATATAATAATGACGACAAATATTTTGCTTTCCTCTGAATTTTATATAATGACGTCATTGGAATAGGTGATCATGCCCGATGAAGTCAGACAAGAAGAGCATGACTTTTTGTAAATAATCTAAACAAATTATCAAATTTTATTGGAATCATTAGATTAACAGATTCCACAACTATATCTCGTGTTATAAGATATTTCCCAACTATCAACCGTAGACATTATTTTTTTAACATAGATTTACATATGCGTTACTTTAAACTATAACTGTAAAGGTATCTCTTTATGAGAGATAATCATAAATTATATAATTTCTATTATCAGTTACCTTTTGGCTGGAGTGACTGGTAGTGGTTTTCGAAAATGTGCCCAAGAAGAATAGGATTACCGGAAAAACCATCACAACCAGTTACCCAAAGGACACTATCCTCATTATTGGTACTGGGAGCACTGGTGACAATAACTATGTCTCTCTGTAGCATTCTGGACATTCCAATGACCACAACATGGTCTGCGTACTCTCCATTCTGTAACATCCTGTCACAGTAGTCCGGAAAATTGTCTTCAACGAAGTTTTCTAATAACACAATGCCTTGACTGCCCTATTGATTGAAAGAAAGCTACTTACATAAGTCTTTATTAACTACTGTACATTGAAATTGATTAATACAAAACAAATACTTTTATAACTACATTTTATCAAAAATCATCATGATCATAACATACATTTTTTATTTATTTTATTGTTGTTTGTCAATACCTATTATTTAGCATTGTACTATATTAACTAAATGATTTATTTAAACATCTGCAGAAAAAAGCATTCTGGTTGATATGAAAGTCTTAACTGATGCTTATTCTTTTATCAGTTTGTAAATCTTTAAATATTAAATTGCATTAATCACAGGTATTACGGGCAGTTACGTCAATTCCAAATTAATATTCTGTCGGAAGTATTTTTGATGGTATTTGTGTGTTAATAGCTTCTTAACTGATTTAAATCATATATTTAAGTTGTGCTGATGCGCCACTAACGTTGCCAACGGTTTTGATTTGTCCCCTGAAAACATGTCCAACTAATTCTTTATGTTTCTGTCCATGGAGGAGTTTGATAATTAGTGAATGTATTTAACAAGTAAATTAGTTTACCTCAAAACTAGGATGTGTTGATATGTAGTTTACAACATTTGTTCTTAATTGTTCGGGAGCAATAACGTCTGCGCCAATTCTATCTAGGTGGCATGTGATTGCTTCAAAAAAACAATTCCCATTCCCTGGTGTTTGACCTCTGTATTCTAAGCCATGGGATGAACAGTTCCTCTTAAGTCTCTCAACTATTAATGTTTGTTCCTCGTTTGAAGCTATATGGATTGCTTTATAGCAATTTGTAGTTCATCAGGTGTTTGGAATGATTTCCCTTAATATTAGAATATAAGGTTAAAATTTCTTCACTTCAAATTTACAGCTAAATGACATTGTTTATACATACTTATGTGTATTCAATTGTAATAAAAACGTATCATTGAAAATATTACTTGTTTATTTAGGGATCATTTGACAGATTTGTTAAGAGTGATATGATTCTGGGTAAACTCTGAATTTTACAATAAAATATGAATTATGATTCTTTCATTTCTTTGTGAGGTTGTTGACATTCACCTCTTTAGAATTATAAATTAACTTTTTCAGACCTTCTGCTCTGAAATATTTGTATCACAAAAGTCTGACATTTTTGGCTATTCATAAATTTATTCAAAAACAATATTTGACTTTGTTATTCATGATTATTGAAAGCAATGATAATATGCTGGTGGTTGACTGGTTTTGTGTAAATTATTTTGTTTTGAATTAAACAAATAAAATGAAGATACAGAACCAAAAACATTCTAAAATTTGAATGATGGCAGCAACTAGATGCATGTAATTGGTATTGACATTTTGTTTTAGAAAATGTGTGTGTAGGTGTGTATGTGTGTTGGTGTGTTGGTGTGTATGTGTGTGTGCTGGTATGTGTGTGTGGGGAGGTAAAAATTTGATATGAATCCTTTCTTTTTACTAATAAAGGGCATTATAAGAAAATTGAAATAAAACACTGATCAGTATTAAGTGAACTGCCAAAGTGTGTTATGTACACTAGTTTTGAGATAATAAACAAATGATAAAGTAAGGAATAAACCGCAAACCAATTCCGTGGAATGATGTTTGTCTTGTTCCCGATTTTGTGTTTATTGTCGTGGCTTTGTCAATTTGGTTATGACAAGTGGATTTGATTAAGTGCCTTTTGAATTTTCTGTTTTTCAGTTTCCAATTTGCGTGCCAACAGATATATTCAACTACAAAAGTCTACAGTATTAACATAAAAATAACACTACCGTGTTATAAATGTATATCTATAATATAATACAGATAAAGAAATAAATCACCTGATGCTAAGCATATCTTTTCTTTCATCTCATTTGCTTTTTCTGTTAAGGTTTGTGCGTGGCGAAGAATATACTGTTTTGAATTTGTATCACATGCTAAAATGGTAGGGGAATATTATATTTGTGCGTGTAATTTCCTAGAATAAATCATATTTTTTCAATTTGCATATGTACACAAAAAAACAAAAACAGTAACAATTTTCGATTTGTTGGAATAAGATACTAACTTTGAAACACTTTTAAAAAAAATATATACGCAGTCGCTGAGCCATTACAAATTGGCCAAGGATAATTGATCGTAGCTGAATAAAGTTTTAAAAAATGAAGAGCATATTATCCATGCCATCGGTCGTTGTAAAATATTTAGCATAAAAGGTCAATCCGTGGTAAAATCAGTATAAATTCAAGCCTAAATGAATTATTTCTCAATTGTATGATCTAAACAGCGTAATCTATACAATACTGTATGAAAAATATCACGACATTTGTGGCGGTTTGGGCATAAATGAGAAAACACAATTCATACCCAATTCTCTGGCTTTTTTCTCCAAAGAGGTTGCCTCAATATATATGGCTTCAATCTGTTTTTTAACTTCTTCCTTTTCTTCATGTCGCAATTCATGGAGGTCTTCCAAATTAAAGTTTTCCAAACCTGTAAGATATGGAAATGGCGGAATAAATAACGATGTTTCAAATATACACCGCGATAATGTATCATAATTTGACATTCCTTAACTATAATTTTGGAATTTGTGCAGTTTTTCTAGTTTTTGAAGTATTTGATTTGTACTATCAACCCTACGTTTCGAATTCTGATTTTAGGAATTAAATATTGGTCTTAATATGACCTCTACTATGATTAATGAAATAATTATGTTTGAAACTGTAACCATTACCTTCAAAATCGCCTGTCACACCTGTCATATTTCCTCTATTTAATTCACGAACAAAAAACCCTGTAATGAGAATGTGAAATATATCATATTTATTTTTAAAATGTCAACAAAATCTTTTTTTTATTAATTGTATATAACCGGAGAAACCATGAGACCCCTTAAAAGTCATATAATTATATATAGGATGAACAGATTTAACCAAAATGAATTGCAGTTCAGGGTAATAAGAGGTTGCCTAAGACATTATTTGCGTCAGATTACCAAAAGTAAATAAATTATAGGATGGGTATCCAGAGATATCCATAATCATTATCTGTTTATGATGAGCAATATTCATATTCAATATAAATGTTGCGGGAAGTGTTAACCAAATTTAACATCTGGATAGTGTGAAACGAGATAATCGATGCCAATAAAGATTCATTAATTATGAATTGTGACCAGAACCTAAAGTTAATACCTGTGTATGGTGACCAAAGGTAACCACATTCCAAATCTGTAAAGGGTGACCAGAGGTAATTTAAGTAAATATATGTATACGATGACCGGAGGTAATCTCATTCAATAATATGAAAGGGTTACCCAATTCGAAATCTGTGTAGGGGGGCCAGAGGTAAACATATTTAATATCTGTGTAGAATGACCTGAGTTAACCACATTCAATATCTTTTAAATTGACCAACGATATTCATCTTATGAACTGTCACCATAGTTAACATAAGCCAATTTATTGTAGGGTGACCAAAAGTAACCATTTTCAATATCTGTGTAGGATGACCAGAGGTAACCATAGCCAATATCTGTGTGGGTGACCAGAGGTAACCATATGCAATATCTTTGTAAGGTGACCAGAGGTTACCTTAGTCAATATCTGTGTAAGGTGTCCAGAGGTAACCTTATTCAATATCTGTGTAGGGTGACCAGAGGTAACCATATTCACAATTTTGGTAGGGTGACCAGAGGTCACCCTATTTAATATCTTTGTAAGTTGACCAGAAGTAACCATATTCAATATTTTTGTACGGTGACCAGAGGTAATCACATTTAACATCTTTGTAGTGTGACCAGAGATTACCAAATTAAACATCTAAGTAGGGTTAACAAAGGTACCTAAATTCAATATTTATGCATGGTGTCTAAAGATAAATAAATGTATATCTGTGTATGGTGACCCGAGGTAACCACATTAAAAAAAAACAATTGCTATATATATTTGTTGACAACGGCTACATAATTTAATATATGTGTACATCGACCAGAAGTGGCTATATTAATTATAAAAGTAGAGAAAAAAGTGTGCACCGAGATAACCATTGCTAACCAAATTCATTATTTATGAATTGTAACCATAGGTAACATAAGCCAAATTTTTGTAGATTGACCAAAGGTAACCATAGCCAATATCTGTGTGGGTGACCAGAGGTGACCATGTTCAAATTATGCGTAGAGTGACCAGAGGTAACCATACTTAATATATGTGTAGGGTGACCAGAGGTAACCACATTCAAACTCTTTTTAGATGACCAAAGATAACCATATGCAATATCTTTGTAAGGTGACCAGAGGTAACCATATTCAAAATTTTAGTAGTGTGACCAGAGGTAACCATATTCAAAATTTTGGTTGGTTGACCAGAGGTTACTATATTCAATATCTTTGTAGGGTGACCAGAGGTAACCATATTCAATATTTTTGGAGGGTGACCAGAGGTAACCACATTCAACATCTTAGTAGTGTGACCAGCGATTTCCAAAATAAACATCTTAGTAGGTTTAATAAAAGTACCTACATTCAATATTTATGCATGGTGTCTAAAGATAAATAATTTTATATATGTGTATGGTGACCCGAGGTAACTACATTAAGAAAAGGCAATTGCTATATATTTTTGTTGACAATGGCAACATAATTTAATATATGTGTACATCGACCAGAAGTTGCTATATTAATAATAAAAGTAGCGTAAAAAGTGTGAACCGGGATAACCGATGCTAACCAAATACATTATTTATGAATTGTAACCATAGGTAACATAAGCCAATTTATTGTAGGTTGACCAGAGGTTACCATTTTCAATATCTGTGTAGAGTAACAAGAGCTAACCATACTCAATATATTTGTAGGGTGACCAGAAGTAACCACAATCAATATCTTTTTAGATGACAAAAAAAACCATATCCAATATCTTTGTTAGGTGACCAGAGGTAACCATATTCAAAGTTTTGGTAAGGTGACCAGAGGTTACCATGTTCAAAATATGTGTAGGGTGACCAGAGGTAACCATAGTCAATATATGTGTAGGGAGACCAGAGGTTACCACATATAATATCTTTTTAGTTGACCAAAGATAACCATGTGCAATATCTTTGTAAAGTGACCAGAGGTTACCTTATTCAATATCTGTGTAGGGTGACCAGAGGTAACCATATTTAAAGTTTTGGTTGGGTGACCAGAAGTAACCCTATCCAATATATGTGTAGGGTGCACCGTGACCAGAGGTAACCATATTCAAAGTTTTGGTTGGGTGACCAGAGGTAACCTTATTCAATATCTGTGTAGGGTGACCAGAGGTAACCATATTCAAAGTTTTGGTTGGGTGACTAGAGGTCACCCTATTCAATATCTTTGTAGGGCGACCAGAGGTAACCATATTCAATATCTTTGGAGGGTGACCAGAGGTAACCACATTCATCATCTTGGCAGTGTGACCAGATTACCAAAATAAACAGCTTACTAGTAGGTTTAATAAAGGTATCTACATTCAATATTTATGTATGGTGTCTAAAGATAAATAACTTTATATCTGTGTATGGCGACCCGAGGTTACCACATTCAAAAAAGGCAATTGCTATATATATATATGTGTGTGTTGACAATGGCAACATAATTCAATGTATGTGTACAGCGATCAGAAGATGCTATATTAATTATAAAAGTAGCGCAAAGTGTGAACCGGGATAACACATGCTAACCAAATACATTATTTATGAATTGTAACCATAGGTAACATAAGCCAATTTATTGTAGGTTGACCAGAGGTTACCATTTTCAATATCTGTGTAGAGTAACAAGAGCTAACCATACTCAATATTTTGAAGGGTGACCAGAAGTAACCACAATCAATATCTTTTTAGATGACAAAAAAAACCATATCCAATATCTTTGTTAGGTGACCAGAGGTAACCATATTCAAAGTTTTGGTAAGGTGACCAGAGGTTACCATGTTCAAAACATGTGTAGGGTGACCAGAGGTAACCATAGTCAATATATGTGTAGGGAGACCAGAGGTTACCACATATAATATCTTTTTAGGTGACCAAAGATAACCATATGCAATATCTTTGTAAAGTGACCAGAGGTAACCTTATTCAATATATGTGTAGGGTGACCAGAGGTAACCATATTTAAAGTTTTGGTTGGGTGACCAGAAGTAACCTTATTCAATATATGTGTAGGGTGACCAGAGGTAACCATATTCAAAGTTTTGGTTGGGTGACCAGAGGTAACCTTATTCAATATCTGTGTAGGGTGACCAGAGGTAACCATATTCAATATCTTTGTAAGATGACTAGAGGTAACCTTATTCAATATATGTGTAGGGTGACCAGAAAGAACCATATTCAAAATTTTGGTAGGGTGACCAGAGGTCACCATATTCAATATCTTTGTAGGGTGCCCAGAGGTAACCATATTCAACATCATTGTAGAGTGATTAGGGTTAACCATATACAACATCTTGGTAGGGTGTCCATATATTACCAAATTAAACATCTAAGTAGGGTTATTAAAGTTAAATAAATTCAATAGTTATGCACAGTGTCTAAAGATAAAAAATAGAATATATGTGTAGGGTGACCAGAGGTCACCACAATTAATTATGTAAAAGATGACAAGGTGCAACAAAATTCAATATCTGTGAAGGCTTGCCGGGTTGACAAGAGGTAACCAAATTCAATATCTTATAATGTTTATTGCAATTCAATACATGTGTTGGGTGACCAGAGGTCACCACAATTAATTATGTAAAAGGTGACAAGATGTATAGAAATTCAATATCTGTTTAAGGGCCATTCAATATCTATATCTGTGTCAATTAATTAGAAGAACCACTGTAAATTTATCTGCAAAGGAAGTAAGGTTAATAAAGTTACTATGCATTTTGTATCAAATGACCAGTGTAACTGTATGCACTATTATTTTCTGTATAGGGTGACCAGAGGTAACCAATGGCAGTTTAAAGGTACCCGAGTTCGAGGCATACTATCTTTTTAGTTATATTTCATGAGAGTGCAATATAGGCCATTAGGTTATTTTATTTTCTGAAAAATAAGCCATATCACTCGTTAATAGAGTTACAGATGAATCTTCTATGCATTTTCAATTGTTTGTTTTGAGTGAATCATTATGATTATTGATTATTTGTGTATTATTTTTTACTTTTTGTACCTCTCTCAACAGTATCCTTTGAAATATGGTGATTCCAGAACTTTGCATTAAGCTCATATCCGTATTGTATAACAGCAATTATAAACTGAGTATGCTGCACTGAGTATCCCCTTAGTAACGTACTTTCACTTTAAACCGGAAATCATGTACTATTTTTTGTCGCGTATAGACTCAATTTTAACCGTTTCTGTTCAGGTGACCAGTGGGCACCGTTCAGCGTAACTATTATCCTTGTGCATGTGTATCATGACCGTTTACTTTTGTTGCTATTTTAAAAAACCTAAGGCCACTAGTGCTTTTAGGTCTTTTATCATGCAGTGAATACACAATTTAAAAAAATTCTCAAAAATTCATTTTCATCTGTTTGTAAAATTATTTCATATTTTTCTACACCTGATTCATCCCTCAGTTTGGGAAAGTGTGTTCAGTTGATACTGTATTTTTTGTCCAATCACACTGTTCAGATACATTCACTTAGGTAGGGTACACAAAAGAGCAACCTAAATTCATGAATGCAAATACTACCGTGCCACCTTAACCAAGACATTACAAACTTGAAATCAGTCATG